TACCTGCAAAGTAACGAAAATTTGAATTTAGATCATGAATTCGCACCATGGTAACCCATGGTAATCCAAGGACAAAACTGGCCTCTCTTGTCTGATTTCTCTCGACCCTCTTAAGATACAACAATTCTAAAAAGCTGAAGTAAATACGACAACGTTTTGCGTCTGTATTTTAACTTCTCGTTTTCACTTAGTACCTCTCAAACTTACTTTTACCGCCGGCTCTACCACCACGAGCTATGTTATACTTATTAACCGGTTCTCTCTTGCTCCTGTACTCTCCTCCTCTCTGATCAATCTTTAGAGCTACTTTGGGAGGTGATGTGAAACCGAACGAAGCCGCAATCTCCTGCAGAAAAACAATTATATCCGTTTTACCCATAATTCCAACGTTTAGAACAAATTGCAGTAATCAGAAAGCAAAAAAAACATTTTTCTAATTTGTATACACTGCAGATTTGGTTACCTTGAGATCGAGTCGGTGAACATTGAAGACATCTTTCATAGAGTGAGAATCATATCCTGAAATGTAAGTCTTGTATGCTTCTTTTGCTGACTGGTTCAATGCATAGTTTTCAGATATCATCTTCTCCTGCAAATTGTTTTTTAAACACACAATTTAAATAAATCTCAATGCTTTTCAAGACTTTTAGCGTATAAAAGAGTGAATCAAGTTTCTGAAAGAGTAAAATGTATTACCAGAAAAGACTGCACATCCATCAATTTCCCTTCTTCAAATTCGTGTAGCTGAACAGGGATTTTGGCCGCCTGCATAAGTCAGTCGAAAACAAGATTCTTTATTCAAATTACAGTCCGCGCAACAATGTTGAAAAGTGTCCATTGGATAAAAATATTGCCTTGAGATACTGAATAAACTGCAACTCATCTGGAGTTAGGACAAGCAGAGCTTTCCCTTTAGCTCCCTCTCCACGAGCTGTTCTACCAACTCTATGAATATATTCCTAAATAAGAAAGTAAAAAAAGCAAGCACATTACACAAGATATTGAGTGATTTCTGAACCCTAATTCTAACACTCGTTTGTTATATCGAAGGAAGTATAAAACACTAGCAATTATAAGTAACATACCGTAGGGTCATCCGGAGGATCATACTGCACAATCCAGTCCTAAACAAGCAGACAATAATCAAAGAGATTCAATTAAAGACCAACCAAAGCAGATGATTTTCAACATTGAAATGGTTAAGGAAGCATACCACATGAGGAATATCAAGACCACGGGCAGCAACGTTAGTACACAACAAGATACCAGTTTCCGCCTTTATGAATTGGAAAAACGTTGAAGTTCTTTTGCTCTGGTCTATCCCTCTACGGATTTCAAGGCAATCTATTTTGATATACCGAAAGAGTTCGGCGTGAAACTTTGTCGATTTGCAGGTAGAGAAAAACACCATGATTTTCTTTTTCCCGTGGAATCTCTTCAAGAAAGTGAGCAAGAAAATTAACCGCTTCGCACTTGGCACAACACAATAACCTTGCTCCAAGCCTTCATTTGTAACCTACATTACCAATTTTTCAGAAAAAATGAAATGAACCTTTTCAAGGAAAAGAAGTGAAATGTGAGAGAACAGATCAAAGAAATTGTGTTAATCGCTACCGCTTTTCGTCCTTCATCCACATCAATATAAACAGGTGAGGCAAGTGACACCCGAGCAAGATCCTCAACCTGTTGGTTTAATCAAAAGCAACCAATCTTAATAAACCTTACTACTAAAGAAATTAGCGATGGTTCTATACTTTTTGGTAAACGGACCTTGGCAGTCTGTGTGGCGGAAAACAGTGACGTCTGCCTTGTCTGCAGCAAAATAAAAAATGTTTCACCATTATCAACAACAAGTTGACATGGAAAGAAATTTACCGCTCTAAAAATTCAGGTTAAACTTGAGACAATGTCTCGGTATTCAAAGAATCGGTTACTTCACTATAAATGCCGCGATCATACCTTTGGAAAAAGCTTAATAATCTTCTTCATGTCTTCTTCGAAGTTCTGTTCCAATATCCTATCAGCCTCATCCATTACAAGAAACTGCAATTTAACAAAGTATAAGAGTTGCATTTAATCGAAACCATGACAAAACCAGTAGTTTAAAAATCAGACTTTGTGTTTACCTTCAAGTTCTTGTATACGAAACCATTTGTATTTTCAAGATGGTCAAGAAGTCTCCCGGGGGTTGCTACTAATAAATTAACACCTTTGACAAGAATCTCAGCTTCTTTCTTTCTGTTCTCACCACCAATAACCTTTCCCACAGTCTGTGAATGAAACCTAAGAAGTTCTTTGGCCACTCCATATGACTGAAATATCAATGACATATGAGTATCACTCTGGACTGATTCCAATACATGAAAAAACTGATAAAATTTTAGTATTAAACCTGAATGGCAAGCTCTCTTGTCGGGCAAATAACGATAACACCAGTTCCATTGCGAGGAGTGAAACGGACATGGTATAAAAGTTCTACGGCCGGTATAAGAAAAGCTAAGGTTTTTCCAGAACCGGTTCTAGCAGCTCCAAGTACATCTTTCCCCATCATCAATGGTGGAATTGCTTTAGCTTGTATCTGCAAAATCCAACAGAGATGATTATTTAGAACAGTGCATATTAAAAGGTTGAATCTTCCTATACAAATGAATGTTCAAATTCCAAATTATAACCTGAGTCAAGCGTGAAAATCCCATCTCCTTGATAGATTTAAAAGTGTTATCAGATAATCCCAATGACTCAAACGTTTCATTAGTCATAATACCACTGCCAGTAGTTTCCTCCACTTCGTCTCCTTCTTCTTCTTCTTCGACATTGTCTTGTTCTTCGAGCTTCACTTTTGCATC